ATAGTTAGGATTCAACATGGCTGTGTCACATGAAAAACATATTGAAAGCCAATGGATTAGAGGGTCTTTTTAAACTACATATAGACCAGAGCTTCACCTTACATTTGCTGCAGAATAATGAATGTGGTGGCACTGTTACCCCACAACAAGAAGGTCTTAACTAGCCTTTGTAATGAGTGTGTTTTGTATTAACCTGGCTTGTACTGAGACATGTAAAGAAATGGGTAGAAAAAATGATGGATGACAGTCAACCGCAACTTGAATTATTCTGTTAGTCAAATCTGCTTGCTTACAGACTAAGACCGAAAGTGAAGAAAAAAGTACAAAGAGATCTGAAGGGATCTTTCCAGTACAAAAGCTGCTAAACCTGTAAGACAAAACTTTCCCTTGATTTGGATGTGTGCGCTAAAATAACAAAGTACTGCATGAAGCTCTATCTTAAGAAACATGGCAGAACTTGGGAAAGAGTATGCTTATGCTCCTGTTCATCAGCTCCACTCAGCCAGGCTCTACTCCGGTTCACAAGCATTTCCAATACCGTTTAATGGTACCAGTACTGGCTTTTTTCAACCCTACTAAGATCTGATGGTATGTGCACATGAGCAAGGCCTAAAAAAAGCCAGTAATGTAATTGCTATAAAAACGTAACGGAAATGCTGGCAAAGTGGTTGGGGTGAAGTTAAGCTAAACCACAAGGAACTGGTGGACAAAATAAATGTTTGCAGCTATTTTTGATGCCACAGATATTTAAAATCCTTATGTAACATATGCTCCAGATGCCTTTAGTGTGTAGTGATGAATGGTAAAGACTAGCGTTAGAAGATCTCTGCTCAAAGAGTAGTGATAGCACAGTATGTTAAAACACCCAACCATTTGATGAAGACTGTGAGTTAAATTCAATACCCACACTATTTGATAATATTATCAGAGTTGAATTAAAGCCTTTTTTTTTAAACACCCAGAAGAAGCTCTTTCGCCGATACAGCAGTTGAGACTTTATCTTTTACTCCAGTTAGTACAGTAATTAAAGTGAGTGGTCTTTAAAGAGTATCACCATACTGTTTAGAGGGAGTGTAGGAGGAAAACAGTTTTCTAAAGCCCCTCCTCCACTGGAAGCGATGTGGGGATTAAAGAGATGTCAGGTTTCAAACACCGGTCAGCTCGCCATTCAGTTAAGTCACAACAGCAACAAGAAGGGAACTTTCACTTTCTTTATACTCAGTCATCCAAGGGTTTGTATATCATTGTAGAGGCATCTGCAGCAGCTCCAAATAATTGGCTCCCTCACACTCAATGTTGTTATGTAATGTGGTTGAGATCTAAAGTTGAATCATATAGAAAAATGTTAAATGCAGTGATAGTCTCCACTAAGCCTTTTTCATTATTTAGAATAATCCTAGGCTGTAGCAAAGGGCAGGACGGGACAAGAATAGGGCAGGTGGGGAGCTTTTCTGAGCAGCGTCTTTCTGCCCATTGTTCTTATTAGATGCTGGGGATTATGGGCATTCTACTGTCTTCAGAACATTTACAAATGTACACCACAAAGTGACACTGTGGCACTCACATACGCTCATTCATGATAAACACACTTATTTTCACACATATCTTCAGGCCCTGATGGACCTAGACATGCCACTCCACACAAGATTAACTGAAGCACTCAACTATGCTTATCCTTAAAATAACTACATTTAATGCAACATTTAGACCTTCCTACTCTAAAATTGGATAATCTTAATGCCCTTAGCTGTTATACTTTATTATTAAATCACAACTCAATTGGACACAGGGCTAAATACACCAGGGCCCCACTGCTGGCAAGAGCATCTGGTGATAAACGGCCAAATGCTTGTCGACGCAGCACACAAAACAGACAAATAGTCCATGAATTTTGTCTTGGGCTTGGCTACAAGTAGAACTGTGCGAGTGACTCAGGGACCAAAGCAGGACCTAGATCATAAACTACATCTATAAAAATGACACTCAGACAGAGCAGTTTTAGCCAGCCACTTCCACCATTTACCTTCATTTACTTTTAAAAGAAAATAGTTTAATTTAATCTTTCTAGACTAGTCTCAGTTTGATATTTAGACTTAGACAGATTTATTTGTCTAAGTCTAAATACACAACTGTAAAACAAAAAGAAATTTCTTTTGGAATAGCTCTCTGGATAATTTAATCTTTTTAAAAGTGAAGCCTTGAAAAATAGTAAAAAAAAACACATATAAAAACAGTAAAATAAACATATGACTTTAAATTTACAGTTCTAAATTTTTTTTGAATATAACGATAAAATATAATACATAGCTATAATAAAATACAGTACAATAACTCTTTTTACAAAACATTCAGCAGTCTAATGGCAGTGAGGAAGAAACTGTTGGGGAATCTGCTTGACGTGCATCGGATGCTTCGAAGTCTCTTCCCAGAGGGCAGCAGGGAGAACAGTCCATGGTGGGGGTGTGAGGGGTCATTGATGATGTTACAGGCTCAGGACACACAGCGCTGGGATGAAATGTCTTTTATGGAGGGAAAAGGAGTCCCGATAATCTTCTTTGCTGTTTTCACCACTCTCTTCACTTTCTTCCAGTCTGAGGCACTGCAGCCTCCACAGCACAAAGTGAGACAGCTGGTCAGAACGCTCTCTATGATGCTCTGTGGAAGGTGGTGAGGATGGGTAGGGGTAGGGGGGCTCTCCTCATCCTCGGCAAGAAGTACATGCGCTTCTGTGTCCTTTTGACCAGTGAGGTGGTGTTTACATTCCAGGTGAGGGTGTCTGTGATTTGCACCCCCAGAAATTTGGTGCTGTTGACCACCTCTACAGCTGAGCTGTTGATGATCAGTGGAGCGTGGTTAGGCTGGATCTTCCTGAAGTCCAAGATGATCTCCTTCGTCTTCTCCGCGTTCAGGATCAGGCTGTTATCTTTGCACCATTCCACCAGATGCTCCACGTCCTCTCTGTAGTCCAGGTCATTGTCGTCTTCTTGACCGCTGCTTTGGAGCGCCGCCATGGCAACAATTATCCCGTTTACCTTCTAGGAACGCTAATCAGTCATTTCAAAATGTTATGCGTCACAACCATTAGCCTTTGATTGGAAAAACAAACCTGGTAAGATGTCTGTAACCAGACTCTAGATCTCCAGATGTAGTCCCTCTTTCATAACTACACCAGGGTGATCTGTACAAAGACACAATATTTATTGCACAAACTATATTAATTTACAATTTAGGGTCCTGTTTTATATTACATTCAAGGGGAAAAAATAACTAACCACCAAATAAAAAAAAGACAGAATAAATGAAAAAAAAAAAAATGCACATGCACAAAAACTTCAAGGCACAAACATAAGATGAATGCAATTTACCCTAATGCTGGAATCTGGATTGACTCATGACAGTAAAATTATTTCAACATTAGGTTACTGTATTAAGAAATCCTTTGTGTAAAGCAAAACAACAGCATGTAGACAGCATCCTGCTCTATATGGTGAAAAGGAAACACAGGAAATATTAAAAGTAAGTTTTTAACCCAATTTATTTTCACTCCTCACGTGTTTTGATTTTTATCTAGTTAACATTGGAATGTAAAAAAGATTTCAAATCACATGAATGAATTGTTAACACAAATTAAAGCAAGGAAACTAAAAAGCCTGGGTTATTGGAAGAGCAAAGAAGTAACTTCTTAGAATTGCTTGATTAACGTTTTAAAAAAAAAACCTTCAGTACTAGTTTTAATTTACCTTTCTTTTACTTTTACTACAGTAATAAACTTGGAAGAGTACCGGTACTCTTACTAGAGTAAAATGTCTTGTTACTTTACTTACAACATGAGCTACTTGGTAATCAGGTAAAAAGAAAGCAGATTTTAATTATTGACGCTGAAAGTTGCTTTTTTCATTCATTACCTCATGTAAAGATTAGTTTTATAAATTGAAATAGATATATGATTTTAAAAAGTGATTTTCTTACTGCCTAAACTGATTTTTTTAATCATGATTTGTATTTTTGCTAGTATTTTGGTTTTATTTAATACCTTAAAATACCAAAATTTGTGCTTACTGTAAGCATCTGTCTGATTACATCATTTTAAACAATAACTTGAATTTTATGAGCCAAAAATTACTCAGAGCTAGATTAGCCTTATTATCAAGTATTTTTGTTTTACTTTTACTGTAATGATGTCTTCACTGACTTGCTTGAGAAAACAAATATTAAACTGGTCAAATCTTGTGTGAGTAGAGTTTTTGGTACTCTAACCACCTCAGGTCATTGAAATTTCACCCAATTAATTTATCAAGGTGTTTTTACATTTTCTGTAGCGTCTTTATGGTTTTTATTATATTTGTATGTCTGGTGCTGATTGATGAGTATATCTGTTCAGCACTTTCATCGACTTTGCAGTTTTAAAGTGCTTATATATAAAGTTGTGTGACCTTCATAGAGGAAAAGCTTTAGGAATCCTTTTCTGAATGAAGCCTTTTGTTATATTGTTGGGTATAATTCTCTGCTGAAGCACAAACATGTTGTGAAGATATGCATAATTTAAGTGGTAAAACTGTGATTGATGCCTTATCTTCATCGTGTGTGTGGGGATTTTATGTTTGTTTTTATATAATGCACATTGGAAAAAAGTTTTATTGTTAAATGTGCTTTAAAAATAAAGTGGATTGATTGCATCCAGTGCAAAGTCAATTATATTAACTGTATAATTTATTTCCCATATACACTAATCCTTCATGCTTGCTTGACATTTTCAGATGTCAAAGTCTTGGCAGCTAAAATCAAAGGAAACAAGTTTAAGTAACTTTAAGCAATCAAAGTCAACATTTAACAGGAGAAATTCCAGTGAATTTTTCAAGCCCTACTTTGAAAAGTTAACTGGAGAAACACTCACATGTATGAACATTATTAGGCTGTCAGGGCTGACAGAGGAAGGCCAGGTTATTGGAGCCCCACCCACCTTCGGTTAAAACGTGTTGCAGCAAGCAGTAGAAACCAATGGCGTGAGACAGAGATATACTGTAGGGAGGGAAAGCGTGGGCAAAGGCAAAGGTAAAAAAGAAGAAGGGAGAGATATACGCTGGCATCTGGGACAACATCAGTTCTACTTTCTTTTCACTGAAAAAGTTTTACTTCTTGGTGAGTTTAAATTTATATTTATAAAAATATATCTTTTATCTAATGAAAATGAAAAGTTTACTTTTTTCCAGCAACTTTCTTAGTGATGGATTTTATTGGAAGTTTTTAAAAGCTGATATATATCCAAAACAGCCCCTTTCTTGGTATTTACGTATTGCACATGTAGTGTAGTTTCTGTGGAGTTTTTCTTTATAGGTGCAGCAGGTGGAATTCTTAAAGGCATGCTTTTGTCTCACACTGTACACAGACACACCTTCTGAGTCATTCAGGTCACAGTGCTTGGTGGGATTTGTTTGTACAGATAAAAATGGGAAAATTAAAAGCAAAATGTGTCTTTAAAGAGAGGAACAGATAATAATATGGTAGATGCTGAACGAAGCTGAGGGTCTTTGAACTCCTTGTCTGTGAAATTTGAGAGATCTTTGAGTATCATACCCCATGCGGTTACTAATCATGCAGTTGAATATCTCAGCTCAGCTGAAACATTCTTTTGAGTGTTTAAGGTGATTCCTCTCAAATACTTCCTGTTTGCATTTTCATATGCTGCAGCAAGAGTTTTAAGTCTTACATTTCTTCTCACTCTTATGTGTTAACTTGTCTATTTACAGCTGTCTACAATTAAATGGATCAGTTTGATATCAAATAAGATGGAAGAGGGTGATCGTGATCATAGGAAAGTTGATGATAACAATCTTAAATGTTGAAGGAGTTTAGAAAAAGTACAAAATTCTGTTCTATTTTACCTCAAAATTTTATGGGGAGCTTTGGAGAAAATGTTGATTTATTAGATGGCATTAATTTAAGATGCCTCTAGACAAAAGATCTAACAGATCAGGAGAGCTTTCGAGCAAATGTCAAGTTAAAGAATTGGATGTTAACAGGCAAAGTAAACTTAATGAAGTACTGTAAATCAGAAAAAGTGTATTATATTTTCTCTAATCACAAATATGCTTCATTTACTGTTAAATAAAAAAATAAAAATAAAACATCCGTATAAAAAGAAGACATTTTAAAGAG